GGGGACAAGACAGAAGATGAGAAGCTAATTGTCCTCAGTAACCATCGGAACACAAGCCACTGCGAGATGATACTCAACGCCCCAAATTTATTCTTTTTTTCTAAAGATGCAAATTGATATTGAACATAAAATATTAAATTATGAATTACAAAGTACACTATTCTATTATATGCTTCAATAATTTTACCAATGCCTTTAAAATTGATAACTTGCTGAAATACCTGTTATCTCTCTTCTTCAAACTTAAACCACATGCTGTCAAGTAATGAAGCTTCAATCTATATAACAGACACAGAAAAATAATAAAAAAAAAGTCCAACTTATTTTGAGTTCCATTACCAGGACATTTCAGATAAAACAGTCGAGTCAAATCTTTGTAAGACTTTGCACTATTCAAACAAGACATAACAGCAGCTGCTTGGTCAGGAATTTAAATATCCTTTTGTTTACAAATGTTTTACCGAAACTTCGGAAAAAGTGAGAAAACATCACTTTTTCAAAACTGACCTACAGTTGCTTATGGTGGTCAGTGTAAATGCAGACTGCAGACCGTTGGTAAAATGTAGACTGAGGGTAAAATGCAGACTGCAGACAAGGTATAAAATATAGACCGCAGACCACAGACTTTTTAAAAGAATCGTGTTACCATTTCTTTCATTGAAAGCTAACTGTAAACAGGCTAACTGAAGCGTTATTTAGGCTAACCTGAATGATATTCAGGCTAACCAGAGTGATATTCAGGCCGACTAGAGTGACATTCAGTCTAACCGCAGTGATATTCAGGCTAACCAGAGTGATATTCAGTCTAACCGGAGTGATTTTCAGGCTAACCAGAATCCAGACTTTCACTGCAATTAGCCTGAATAATGCTATTATGTTCGGCACTCAATAATGGAAATAACACGATATAAATTACTTAGAAAGTCTGTAGTCTACAGTCTGGTTTTTACCTCTGGTATGCAGTCTACATTTTACCCACGGTCTGCAGTCTGCAGTCTGCAGTCCACAGTCTGCGTTTTACACCAACCAACTCTTATGGTTGGTAGTGTACATGTACATGTACGTGATAATTCAGCCCATCAGATCACAACATTTACATTTAGTATATGAGTTAAATTCTAC